TGAAAGGTTCACGAGTAGGACTCAGACGCGCAGAGCATCCTGCCGGGAACTGACCCATGACACCTGCCACCATATTCTCTTTCTTGGAGAGGTTTATCCAGAGCTCTTCTCTGAATGTTTCTAACCACACTTTATTCAGATGCATGTGCTATGGGATATGCTCTATTTCAAAGGACAAATGAAGAATGAAAAAGGAGAGCCGCTATTCCCAGGAATCGTCAACAAGGTGGGACTTTATGGTCATTATTTGCTATTTATGTTCATGGACTTTTCATTGTCATCAATAGCTTTGTTCCTGTGCCCCACTTCCATCTACCCTAATAGACTTGAGATAACTTTCCGAATTCGAGCATCAGAGCCGATGGGATACCAAGTGGGGCATGGACAGGACTTTCACGCGCTACTCTGCAGAAGATTCTTGAGAAAAGCCATAGGACCCTCAAAGCGAGTCCCAAAATGTGAAACTGGCCCTCAGCTCAAACGGTCCCGTGAAGTCGAAGTCGTTACCGTAGCCTTGATGGGTCTACGGTAGTCGGATGGAAGCCCCGGTTGAATTATCGCCGCGTAGTTTCCTCGCACGCCGCACAATCGGAACAAACGCTACACACCCCAACTTTATCGCTTCTGTTGCCAGATAAAAGCAGCGCTGTATCCTCCTGGATGGTTCCCAGGAGTTCCTGTACAATCATTCTTCCACTGGATGAGCCTTGTCGACACGGCCTACGGAGTTCCTGAGGTACGTTAAACTTCTCACTCTTTCTCTGACTGTCTTGAAGTTGTGCTAAATTTCAGCCTGAAAAACCCGTCGTCAAATACAATCCGCCTTTGGAAGCCTGGATAAAACTCTATTTGGTCGGACACTTCACACTGTTATTGGCGATATTCCTACATTTCGAATACGATCGAGCATCGATGAGCTACGTGGACTTTACGCTGAAAATCGCGTTCTTCCTCGTCACAATGCAGACCTTCGGAGCGTTCTTCGATAGAAAGTAGGTATAGTGTAGTTCGCTGTGGACGGTTGGGCGTGTCAGGCGGGATGAGTTTGGCGCGGTGCCAAACCCGTTCTCCACCAGTTGTTGAAGCGAGCAAATGATATGACTGTATCATATCGTTCGTATTACTCGTTTTCTACCACTTTTGTCGCATGCGCGCTTCAACAAGAAGGCAGAGAACGGCTTTGACGGGTGACACACTCATACTGCCTGACACGCCCAACCGTCCGCAGCAGGGTGTATAGTCGTTTTCGCTGCAGATGGTGAGGCGTCGGGGCTGTGTTTGGTACCCCGCCACAGTGAACTTAGTCGTGTTTCGGGTCTTCTCGCTTCGCTGCAGGATGGTGAGGCGTCGCTCCCTGGGCTGCTGCTTTTGGCACTCTACCAGCCCGCTTCCCCACCCAGGGCACAGCATTGGTTGGGGATTCCCTATGGGGGGGTCGTATTTGGCCGTCAAAAGGGGGGGTCGTATTTGGGCTGGGAAAAATTTATTTTTATAGTTGATTTTTCTCTCCTTGCGGACGTTTCGGAGGGGGGGGTCGTAATTTGGTCGTTGTGGGGAGGGGGGGGTCGTATTTCTGGCTAGGAATTATGTGGTTCACTTGATGGATTTTTATGAATTTACTGTGTTATAGCTACTATGTACGCCCGTACGATGTACGTCGCACTGCTTACTACATACCCCCCCCCCCCCCCCCCCCCCCGACAACTTTTTTCGCCACCGAGTTATAAACCCAACCATAGTCCAGCCATCGTAGGAAGCCATGGAGGCAGGGCATTGGGTTCGCATACTCGCCCCTGAAAAAAAGCGGGCTCCGGGTGGAGGTTGGGGCGTTCGTAAAATAAGAAGCTTCGATCCAAAATCGCCACATCGAATGCTGCTGCCCTGTATCCCAACCACTTGTATCGCATTGACCGCCTTCAGTAGGCTAGGTGCGCAGACGCTGCCGGACCTTCTGAGGCCGCCTACAAGTGAAAACGCCGCTCTGTCTAATTCTCTTTTGGGTGATTACTTCCTTCAATGAATTCCAGGCCATATGCACCATCGTTGGAGATTTCTCGATGTGTCGGAGTGCTAACATTTTTTGGTTTCTTAGAATTTTGCGTATCACACAATTTTGGTGCTGCGACCTCACAGAAAATGTTTGGAATACTTCTTAAATAGACAGTGAGTTTGGCATGGTCCGCGTTATTATGAGATAGCGTACTGTATTTCAAGAGCGTCGTTTGCCTTGGATAGATATACAGATACATCTTCACTAAGTAGCTTTGCTTAGAGTCGCTAACTACAAGTTCACACGGAATTAGCCGTATATCAAAGAAGGAGAAAGCTTCGACCTTCTGGGCTCTTCAACAGGCAACAAATTAAGCCTTCTCAAAAACTCAAAAGTTTGCGGACCATTGAGACGCGCATTGCGCGATTAGAAACGTCCTTGAAGATTTTTATTAACCATTCAGCGTTAGCTATGCAAGAGGCCTGCAAGCCTGCGAGCAAAGCCTTTCCAAAGCTCGAGCGGTATGGCAGGGATCCGCCGCTCGCACGAACAGCCGAGCGCGAACCAGCAATTATCCTCAGCCAGTTGACTCGACGGATCACTGCAGGTTGATCAATCACTTAATCACAGCCTACGTCTCATACTCTTCACTGTACGGCTTTCTCTGGAAAAATTCGAACAAGCAAATAACTGTTTTTCCATTCCACGTTTTTGAGTATCACAGCCGCTGTCACTGAAGTCAGTCGGGACGTGTCAGCAGTGCGTGGCTTTTAGCTCGGCGCCAGACACGCTCCCACCATCATCCATCCCGAAACTGCAACGACTAAAGGGAACGCGCTGCGCCCGCAGCACATAAAACCTAAACTCAAAAATTCGCGGAGAAGTAAGAAAAGCAACTTCACTGATTGTCAATTTCTCAAAACGAAACACCAACCAGCAGTTGAGGGTACGATTAGCATGGAGGCAGTGCCAGGCCATTGCCCCCCCCTTTACCAGCCCCTTCCACCAGCGTCATTGCGTGGAATGGCTGGGAGAGGGCATTGGCCCACCATTTTCGGCCCTTCCACCAATTACATAGGCGACAAGCGCCTCTTCCAGCCATCGCGTTCCCTACCTTTAAGTAAACACATAAACTGTAAGCCGATGAGCCAGACTACTTGCGAACTAGCCATGGACTTGCTGACTACGCAGTGTCGCGCCTAGGATTTCCGTAGTTACCCCCTCCCCCACACTCAACCTCCCCTGCGCAAAAATGACGATGCTTGCTGAGAGCGCAGGGCGCTTCCGTACCTTCAAGAACACTCTTTTCGAACAGTTTTACTTAGCTAATGAGCGTCGAAGAGGAATGAACTTCGCCAACCCTCCTAAAACTCTCACTTTTTTCTAGGCGTAAATCACGTCCAGGCCGAAAGGTCAACATTCTGATAGATAACTAAGAAAGTCGCCATATCGGCTAAGAAGATTCTTATTATTATAAACAAATTATTACTAACAAGACACGTCCCATCTAGATCATTTCCAAAAGTGATTCGTTGAAACCTAATGCACCTCCAGTCCTGCCACACAGTATTCACTCGGCGTTATAATACCGTAGTCTCTCGACAACCGTTTGTTTTTTGGTACATTGCGTATGTGTGTGCTTTGTACAGTATGATGATAGAATACATTTTATAACAATGAAACTAAACTCTACTTCTATGTGCAAGTGGCAAAGGAGGTTAAAAACCTGGTAGAATAGTACAGTGAAAAAAATCTGGGCACACCTCTATGACTGTGGCATAAAAATCAAAACTAAACTATATACAACAGTGTATTCGCAGTTGTTCTCTGATGCTATGAAGAGTTTCAGAAGCCCCAGAGATTTCAAGCCATGAACAGAGAGAATGCCAAATATTACCAGCAATAAGAGTGCTCAAGCAGAATGTGAGAAAACCAATCTGCCAATGCTGGGCGGCAGCAACGTCACAATGTATAGATCAGGAGCTTTTACCCCTGTATATAAGAGCGACTGCACCCCGACATTGTACGAGTTTGCAAACGCTCGGACGAGTTTTCCAGACTGCCAGTCTCATGTCGCTCATGCATTTTGCAATCCTTATTCCCTCTCTTGTGAATGTTTGTTTCTTCTGGTTAGTTTGTGTTTTGCTTGTTTTTTTTTTTGTGTCGTACGTTCTAGGAGTACAAGCGAGCTGCAACCACTCACTCACTGCGGTAACGACGTCGTCGACTTCCGCACAATGATTGCAGTCAATAAAAGAGGACCGAAATTTGACCGAACTATAACGCGACCAGGGTTACGAGATCGTGATGTGTGAAATAGGTTGGCTGGCGAGTCGACTCGGAGGCCGTCTTTGTACGACACCCCGCCCCCCATCTTCCGCGATTACCTACCTACCGCTTTCTCACATTTATCGGTTTTTCCCCGGTTTTTTTCCGATCTTTCCCTCGATTTTTTCTCATCGCAGCAAATTTCTCTCAAATCCACCGCCGAATACGACCCCCTCCCCACCCTTCCCAGCTAAAAAGCTACGACCCTCCTCCCCCATCCACCTACTTATCACAACAACGATGCATACACCCATGAACAGCGAACATATTGGAGGAATACAGCGCGTGCTGGGGTCAAAATACTATTTTGCCATCTCCAACCCTTTCGCGTTACTGTACGTAAGTCCGTTTGGAGCGGCGAGACGCCGCACACTTGGAACGAGACGACGCTTGAAATTCCGCCGCGCTGGTGGGAGTCGCCCAATGACACGTTGCCCATTTGTAACAACGACGATGCTTTTTAGGCCCGCAAGGGCGAACCGTATAACCAAAATCTTAGCCATAAAATGTTTAGGATTGTTCGTACGTATGCATGCAAGTTTCTGTGACATTAGTCTGGAACGGGTGAGAAGCCACACGCACCTGATCGAGCCGCGCGTGACGCAGCGGATAACTTAAAGAATATTTCAGCCGACTGTTCTCCCCAGGTGGAAATGCGACCCGCTTCACTCATGAACTGCATGAGACTTGCGCACGCGCCAGCAGTTGTCACGTTTCACCGAGCAACTCAGCCACAGCATCAGAGAAATTACAATATGTTAAAAAAAACAGAAGAACGACAAGGAAGATTTTTGACTGAGTGAATGAAAAAAAATATTTTCACTTACTTAGTCAAAGTAATTTTTGGATTTGAAATAAAATCGCCTGTGAAGACATACACATGAAGGGGGATTCATTACAGATCGGCTACAGGAATACCTCTAATAAACGAGCAGAAAGAAAATATAAAGAAACATGAAGAACAAATGGGAAGGTACTTCATAGAAATAAAAAAGGCCTCTATGAGAAGACTCCATAGGTGATAATGAACAAAAAGCTGCACAAGAAAAAGAACAAGTAACCATACCTCAAGGAGAACTCGATCTCGACTTCGAGTAGGAACAATCACGCCGTCTCGACCTGAACGGATGAAATCACTATGAAGCGATTCAATTTTTGACCCAGGAACAATTCTAACTGTAAGTAATGAATAGAGAGGAGTCAAGGCGAAGAAAGAAGAGAAAATCGATTGGACTTACTCCGCTCCTCGTTTGATGCCTCCTGAAATTCTTGACTGATGACCTTCGTTCATGCCATCGCGTCTCTAGAAGGGAAGTTGTGAATTCTAATTTTTTATTGAAATATCGAAAAACCAATACAAAGAAGAAGAAGTAGAAAATGTATCACTGACCTTTTCCATTGTTTCACTCCCATTACTTTGGTACCCTAAAAGGCGATTTTTCTTGCACAAGCGAATCTATTTGTCATGAAAAATAAAAATATTTGGCATTATTTGTCTTTCACGTACCCCTCATGCTGCGACTCGATGGTTCATTCCAGCGGTTGGAAGTGTTCTGATTACGACCTGGGAATAAAATTTTTTTACATATCGAATACGCCCTGCAAAACAAGTATGTTCGCACTTTGCGACAGCGTTTTGAGTGTTTCGAGTGTCAAGGAAAGCCTAAGTATCGATCCAGCGCATGCCAGCGTACGCTCAAAACGCTAGTTCTTTTCTACTCGATGCTCTCCTACTACTTGGAGGCGGTGGTATGCTGGTGTACGCTCGAAACGCTGAAGTAAAGCTTGAACGCACACTAGGAATAGAGATTGTTTCACCTCTTCCTCCCTGACGGCTAGAACCATATCCAATTACTTCCTGGGTTAGGCGAATGGTTTGATAGCAGTAAAGTACGATTGGCATTATTAGTCTAAATATCACCCCATCACCCCATATACAGTCCTCATCATTGCGGACCGGTGGGGCGTGCCAGCCAGAAGGAGTGCGCACACTGTTGAAGCCGTTCTCAGCCTTTTTTGTTGCAACGCGTATGCGACAAAAAGTGGTAGAAAACGAGTGATACGAAGGATATAATACAGTAATGCACTTGCCCGCTTCAAAAACTGGTGCAGAACGATTTTGCCAAACCGCACCAAAGCAGCCGCACTGCCACGCCCCACCGGTCCGCAATGATGAGGACTGTAATATAAAGCTAACTGCGGAGACACATCCAAAATGGAGACGCGATGGCTAGCCCACCAGCAAGCTGGTGCAAGCCGGCAGTCATCGCAACATTCGCTGCAGACATGTATCTCAACACGGATACCTGGTTCAGTATTGTAGACATTTGGCAAATTATTGTATTCCTGCGATCTGTTGGCTTCTAGTATTGCTGCACTATTATTGTTGACGTCATTCCTTGGAGGAGTACGACTGCGGCTTCTGCTTCGCGAGTATGACCTTGCTGGTCGACTTCCTGAAAAGTGTGGGGGAATAGTAGTCAAGTCAAGTCCTGGCCTTGAGGGCATTTGGCGCTATAAGACCCCCCACACTAAATTTCCTCTTCCGTCATCTATAAAATGTCTCAAAGTGAATTGTCGATAAAAAATAAAGGGCGAGGGGAGGAAGTAGATTGCTCCGATAGTGGGAGCAGTAGAAGATCAACAATCAAAATCTCCCTATGCCAATTACGACCATCAACCCTCCTTCTGCAGACCAAATACGCCCAGTAAAATAAAGATGTTAAATGCAGTGATCACATTAAAGAGATGAAAGTAGTTAAGGGACTCTCACCTGATGTGGAATTCTTTGTAGAAGCTGCCAGAACGGGGCTTCTGCTCCCCGAACGAGAGTATGAGCGGTCACTCCTACTTTTCTCCGATTCATTGACTTAAATTGAAGCAGACATGAGTATAAAACATGCAAAGCTGCAAAAGTGAGCAGATAGCACCTTCATTTGTTCTAGCTTCATAAATTTTAGGGCTGTTGCTTGTTCGTGTATATGAACGAGGATTGAAATGATTGGTTTCGTTTCCTTCTGTGTGGTGACGGTTTTCTTAACGAAGAACCTCGTTATCACCTGATAGTCGATTAAAGAAGGCGTGCAAACAAAAATTAACTCAACATACCAGAGTCCGGCTTTTGTGCGGCTGAATTTACTGGGCTACTGCTCCTTGAGCGGGAGTACGAACAAGGAGGCCTGGAGTTCGATCCTGAAAGCTTCAATCAGTAGCCAGCTTTGTCCCCTTCGAACCGACACTGAAATAGGTTCACAAAGCACTGAAAGTCGTGAAAAACCCACCAACATCCTGCCTCCTTGCAGCTGCATCTACTGGGCTGCTGCTTCTTGATCGAGAGTATGAGCAAGGTCTATAGACATTACCAGAACGACCATTCTCTTAACGATGAAACTTGTTTGCCTTCCTCCATTGAGAGAAGATAGAAGAAACAAGACGATACGGGAACACTTCACTGAGAATTAGCGGAGAACCCACCATTGGTTGACTTCTTTGCAGCAGACGGAAGCGGACTGTTACTTCTTGAGCGAGAGTACGAACGAGCGCGTGAGTTTTGACCTGAAACATCTCTTATATTGTCGAGAAATCCGAATCAGATGGAAACCTCAGAAAAGCTGAACGCTTCCATACTACGAAAATGCTACACTCACCAACGAACGGACCAGTGTTCGTTTTCTTGGCCAATGGCGAACACGGGCTACGACTACCCGAACGTGAGTACGAACGGTCTCTTTTCGGCTTTGACTCGATGGTAGTCGTGTTGTTTTCTGAACATCGATATATTAAGAGAGAAATTCTGCCTGTGGCATGTCCTGTTTGCGGAAAAAACATTCGCAAACCACAGGGAGCAGCCCCCTTCCCTCAAACCGCATCCTATACAACAATTATTTTCCCAGTTCTGCCCAACACCTTTCCACTTTTTCGTAGTTTTTTCAGAAAAATGCCGTGGGCGAGGGAGGGAGAGGGGGGGGGGTTCGGGGCTGTATACTATGCACTCGGAACAAAAATGTCAAACAAATGAAAACATTAAAAGGCAAATACGTCCTCCCTCGCGCAGATGCAGAACGTACGACGTGCCCCTGACTCTGCGTGCGCAATCAGCAAAATTCAAACAACGTTACCGAACGAGTCTCTTGAGCGGTAGGAGTTATTGGTATCACCACGATGATCAGCTCCTCGACCACGACCACGTCCGCGGAAACTATTTTCACGCCCATTATCATCATCTGAAAGCCTTGCTAAGTAACTATAAGGTTTGGAATGAAATGAAAGAGGAATACATAGAAAAGGTACAGTTTGAAAAAGAAAGAAGTCTGTGGAATAAGTGCTAAGTGGAGCAAACATACCAAGGACTGAACTCGAAGGCACATTCTGCGAATACCCGATGGGTAGAATCCTTTTTTGCACAGGTAGTTCGATCCGTAATCCCCGAGTTTGCCCCTTTTTCGTGGCTTTACCTTGAGTGACCAGGAGCTGCGACCGTCATAAGCCGCTGGTAAGGCAACCGTACTACCTGCTCCACCCATCTGGTCGAATATCTATAAGAGCAAGAGCGACGCGATGCGTTCATTCTGTGTAGGACCGGACTTCGTCGCCTCGCTCGCCTTTGTTATCTCATAATTTGCTTCTGGTTTCCCTCCCGCGCAGCAATATCCTCGCTTCTTCGGATGCACGTCCACATATCCTCACCTAAGCCGACTTCGACGGTATGCCCACTCTTTTCCTCAACTCAACTGGTATCTAGCCATTCATAGCTGAATGGCCCAAAGCCCAGAAGACTTATTCATGCAATCTGTCTTCGAGAGAAAAGGAGAACAACAGCTACCAAACGAAAACATTACCACGATGTCCACCACCACGACCGCGCCCGCGACCAAATCCACGCTCTCCTCGTCCTCGAGGACCGCCACGGCCACGCCCTCGGAATTCACGGTTACCAGATTGATCTGATGTAATGAGAACATTTGAAAAGAAAGTGTTAAAACTTCAGTAAACTCACTTCTATCTTGAAATCCTCCCGGACGTCCAAACTTTTCTGAGTTCGAGTTTTCGTCACAGTTATCTGCAAAGTTTCTAGTTCTATAATTCCAAGGACCATAAGGAGTTAGGGTCTTTCCAGGTCTATGAGAAATAATCAAGACAAAAAGGACTACGTCTGAGAGGGTATTACACGTGAAAGCCGGCCTCAGAAATAACAGCTGACTCAATGGAAAAAGTACATACCGAGGTCACGGTAGGAAACACTGGAACTCTTCCTGCCATAGGAAGAGTTATCATCGATACCGGGACCTAAACGATTGAGTAGCTAGTCTACGCAAGTAAAAAAAGGCAGATTTCATAAGAATTCTTTTAATCACATGTACCCACCCGGCAACGATGTGTCAAGGTCACAAGGGACAAGGCGAACTCCTTCAGCTAAAGGTAGAGAGGTTAATCAAAGTGATAAGTCAAGAAAAAGTTTGTTTCAGAGAAGAAAATTTAACCAACAGCTGATTCTTACCAGTTACGGCAATCATATGATGGTTTGCAAAACGACTAAAGTCCACACAGCTGTGGAACTCCGGATCGGTCATAGGAACCGTGTAGATTGATCGTAAATGCTGGAATATTACAGTCCTGCTCGCTACGAATGATGGGAGTGTCAGGATGAGCTGGGTTTGGCACAGCACCAGCCCATTTTTTTTGGGCAAGCGGCACAAGTCTGTAGCATATCGTTTGAAATAGTCGTTTTGCACCACCTATTGCCGCTTACCTTAAAGCCGGTGGAGATCGGGCTGGCGGCACGCTAAACCCAGCATAACCGACATGCCCCATCATCCGCAGCGATCAAAACTACTACTTTCCGCGTGTCAGCCAATTGGTGCAGCTTCCACAAACTTTAGGTTGACTTTTCAACACTCACGGGTAAATGTCCAATTCCAGTTTTGTCGTCCAAGCAAAGACGGTGATGGCTTTTATTCACATGATAGACGTTACAGTACTCACATTTAAAATTGAAATGAGCTTGCGTTCTGAAAGTACAATTACCATTTATGTTCATAATACCAGAACAAAATAGTTCAGAAGCTTTGTCTTCCTTCTGCTTTTATAGCAATTCTTCAAAAAGTATAAGAAAAACGTACTTGTAAACTTCACAAAAATGGAACGCCTGGTGTTCGATGGCCCCCATCATACTCATCGGACGATCATCAAGGCAACCTTTGAAATTGCAAGCAAAACGAAGTTCGAAGGAAGGAATCTCCTGCAATTCACCAAAAAAAATTAAGGCGGAAAAGGAAGTAGTGACACTTACTTGATCAATTCAATCAAAGCTTTTCAATCAGAGGGCGCTGGTGTAAAAATCAAGAAACCATGAGTCACTTACTCGATAGAAGGTGCATGCCATATTCGTCATTCTTGATGAACAGTCTGAAAGTTTAGTTTTGCAGTTATATGGTTAGAAAGATAGAGAGTATACAAAAACTCTGTGAATACGCTTATTACAATGTGTCAAAGCCACTTCGAACTGGGGTTTTTGACTGCTAGGTACGCATGTGAGACATATGCTGGTCAAATCTCCTGGCCATCTACGTTTGCGCATCGATTTCGTACCTTACGACTCAGGAGAATGAAACGTTGGACATCTGAGGAAGGAACAGGAAATCGATTGGTCTGATTTTTTTCCTGGATTGTTCGGATATCTGGAAGCGCTTCAGACTTGGTGACAAGGAGGGGCGCGCTAATCGGGTAGATCGAAATCCTGTGCCTGTATTTCCCAATTTTCCTGTTGCTCCCTTGCCCTGTTCGCCAGTTCGACATCCATGTTTCCCTTTTGAACGCATTTTTTTGTTCTCCCGTGTCACACAGTATGAGCCTTCTTAACGCTGCGTTCATACCTTGCTTTCTAGGAGAATTGACGTTTCAAGAATATCGGCGTTCTGAAAAAGCCAGCATTTCGGGAGAATGCGCGAAAAGTATGATTATTGATCTGGGTTCAAAGAGAATCGGCGTTTTGGGAGATTTTACGTTTTGGGCGAAAAGTATACTATAGGTATCGATCGGCGCCCTAAACGCCGATTTCCCGAGACGCAAAGTATAAACGCAGCTTTGCTGGATTCTCGATTCTCATTTCATTAGATGTGAATTGCAATCTTCACTAAATACTATATACTATTCATTTCTAGTATAATGTAAAAAAAGTACCGGTGTTCAGAAGCTTGATGTTACAGTATCCCATTGGATTTCACGGTCGTCGATTAACAGCTGTTACTATAATTCACCTGACCATTGATCGATACCGTAATCTAAACTCTGAATGTGTATTTATGCCACTTTCGTTTATACTAGACTCCTTAAAAGCTCATTACATTAATATGCAAGGACTGTACTCTTCTCGAGCAGTTATACTGTGACATAAAGCCGATCGGAACTATCTCTTTAATATTACCCGGATTAAGAAAGTTATAAATATCAAACGTGGAGCCCAGTTTCGTTCAGTGAATCTTTCAATACGCATCCGGACCGTTGGCGGGGTTGAATACCACTAGCGCTCGATTACATGCTTGATAAACCACGATAAAGTACTTTGATGGCTCAGAGTATCTCCACTTATGTCTGCCACTTAGCGTGAACAGCACTGTCTTCGGTAGATATTTCAACTGGTCGAACGTAGGAGACAGAGAGTCTGTCACAGTCTGGTACAAAATACGATCGACAGTACAATATTGATGTTCGAATTCCAAACAAAGCTGCTAACAGAAGCCATGAAAGGTTAATGCAAGGAAATATGTTTATCGATAGACGGGATTCTGCAGAAATCCCGTAGGATGTGAATGATAGCTGATAAATATCGATTAGTGCGACAAGGCACATGGAAGGGAAGAAAGAGCTGCAGGACCTGAATTGACATTTATGGCATTGCCAAGCTCGTACGAATCTAATGTCACGAAGCGATCCGATCTGGAGCGCAGCCGTTCCCGGAGGAAACTCTTCATCAAACACCCTGCAATGAGTAGGACTCTCTACGATAAAACCATTTTTAATGCTGACTACAGTAGGAGGCACTGTAGGACCAAGTGTTGTAATGGCACAGTGGTCCTTTAAAAGCAGGTTTGCGTAAGCTGCGACTGGTTCGTGAATAATACATACGTATCGATCCAACGAAAGCTGCGTAAGTTGCGTAAGCTGCGTAAGTTGCGTAACCGACGGACAGCTACGTATGAATACGTATCTATTCCTTCTCGAAGTATGTCGGTCGAGTTACGCAACTTACGCGTTTCTTTGGATCGATACGTATGTGTTCTTCACAAACTAGTCGCAACTTACGCAACTTACGCAACTTTCGTCGGAACGATACGTATGTATTCTTCACGAAACTAGGTGCCCAACTTACGCAACGAGACGTTCGCACGGTTATGGGAACGCGCCTCTAGGAGCTGTCAGATAGTCCACATATTAACTCAGCGACTAGCGTTATAGGCTAAACAAAGGTAGGTCAACAAACCCCTAGAACCCAATGATTGCCTACCCATATGAAACCAACACAATCCTGGTGACAACGTTGTTGAGCGGGGCCATGCATCTGAGCCTCTGCGTCTCTGCGTCCGTTCTCTCCAATGCAGGCTCAGTGCGTAGGCGACCAGAGCCGTGTAGAAACTGCTTTGTTAGGTAGATCCGCGCCACTCTGGTCGCCTCGACACTTGAACCTGTGCCTTGCATATTGGGCGAAACTAGACGCAGGAGGCTCAGCATGCATTGCCCCAGCAATAGCACCGCAATCTCCCTCATCAATATTACTGCTCGCTCGGCTAGGAAGATAGTGGTTCCTTTTCTAGAAAGCACCTGAATGCGAAACAGTGCACTCAATTAGATTTCCTTCGAAAACTGTTAGTGAGGTCTCTTCGAGCGCGCTTCAGTGCTGTTAGGAACCCGTCTCAGGGCACATGTCAACCGGGAAGCCTCTCCCCTCCTTCCTTTTTTCTCCCTCCTTCCTTCTTTTTCTTCCTTCCTTCTCTGATCCCTCCTCCTTTACCTTCCCCTTCAACTGCTGGACTGGTAGATGCCCCGTGAAATTAGCCCTGGACCCTCGCAGCGAGAGATCGTCTGGTTGACATCTGCCCCGTAACCTATGGAACCAAACGCCTGCAGTGTTGTTCGCTACGGATAGTGGGCCGTGTTAAGCGGCGATGGATTTGGCACAGCACCAACTTGTTTTTTTGTTCCGTTTTTAAATTTGGCAAGGGGTAAGACGGTAATATATCGTTCGTGTTGGTCGTTTTCCACTAGTTTTTATCGATTACCCATTTCAGCAGGTGGTGAACAAACGGCTGGTGGCGCGCTAAATGCAGCCCCTCTGACACGCCCCATCATCCGCAACGTACGTAACAGTATACACGATCGCGACTTCTTTGTCTACGAGCACATGCAAAACGGAAACTAAGCTATCTTTTTTGACCCATCCCACTCAAGACTTGGCTAAACATAGTCTGTTCAGTTAGCTCTTTAATAATCACTGAAAATGCCATCAAATCATGTTCCTAACATCACGTCATAATCCACATTGCTGTTCCCTTCGAATATCCAGCTCAACTGAGAATTTCAGGAATATTACTGTGCGTAGTGCCTACCTATGAGCATTACTGTAACACAGCTGCTCGAAGGATAGTTGGAAGAAGTGGCAAAAAAATTGGAGGACCTGCTTGAAGGCTTTTATACTCTACAACGTTGTGTCATGACACGTCTTGCGACGTGTCCTAGCACGATGCGCTGACGTGTCAGTGCTATACGTCGTCATGCAACATTTAAGGCGTAAAGAGATGGCTAATGCCTGTTTGGACGCGCTCAGTTTTGGCTGAGAGCTCATTTATGAAGTGCCTAGATCACCAAATCCGCTGAAAACTTGTATACAGGGGTATTTAACATCCTGATTACGAATATGACATTCATTCTTGGCGCTGGCGCTAATGGATGACACTACGATTACCTGCGCTCTGCTAAGGCTGAGCCCAGAAGATAATCGTAGTGTCCTCCATTAGCAGCACCAAGATAGCCCTCTTCAGGGCGCACAAGAATATGATGTCATATTCGACTAATCAAAATTACCCATGTAAATAGTTTGTCAGCTGATTCGGTTTATCTAGAATTTCCATATGGAGCGCGTCCAAAGGCATTAGCCATCTCGTTATACCTTAAATTGTTGTATGACGACGTATCGCACTGACACGTCAGCGCATCTGCTGGACCACGTCGCAAGACGTGTCATGACACAACGTTGTAGAGTACAAGTTGTTAATTCCCCCAACATAACGCTCGTCATAGACGTTGTGCTACCAAATAACCTTACTCGCGCGAGGATGGGGCCGTTAAGGGAGGCTAGGTGACAACCAGATTTTTCGGTGGTGTGTCTGCGCGCGAAGGGGCCAGAGCGCCAAAGGCGGATAGAGGATCTCGCGTCTGTAAAGGTGTCGAAAGGTGAAAAACTTGTCGCAAGCCTGCGGATAAGCTTTTCAGGACGGTGGGGACTCCGGGGTGGGTCAGGCACTGATTGTTTGTGAAAAGCTGGTATGTATGAAGTCACGATGACCCAGAGAATGCCATCCGGAAGAGAGAGTGCAAAGAAAAATGGAAGATCGACGAAGTCAAAGGAAAAGGTTTGAGTTGCCCATAGACTCAGCGACGGCTGGATTTAGCGAACGAACACTCGACTTTGCGTTGAATTGTGTGTACGGACACAAGTGGTGAAAAACGACTGACACGAACGATGAGGTACAGTCTTGTTGCTTGCCGAAAAAAAAACGGACCGACGCAGGGCCAAACCCATCCCCTTAGAAGCACCTTATCATTTGCAGCGAGCAAGACTGTAGTACTGCAGCGGCTACTTGATGTGGATGTTACGCCACGTTCACACTTTGCGAAATCGGAGAAGGGGAGAATGCGCGCCCAAGAAAGAAACAGGTGTCGAATCGGCGAGCCGATGAAATGGAAGGCGCGTATCGAGTGAATGCATGTCGAAAGAGTCAATCGTCATCCCGTTGACTCCTTTGGCGCGCACCCTCCCGATTCACTTATTCTCCGTTTCTCCAGTTCTTTCATTTCGCCAGATCGATTAGTTATGCCTTTCCTTTGGCGTGCGCATTCTCCTATTTTTTTTCTATTCGTTTCCTCCAGTCACTTAGTATGAATACATCTGTATGGACAAGACCGCGTTCATAATATGCAAAAAAGGAAAATATGCGATTCGGAACGAACGAATCAAACTTGTTCATCGGGAATTGATGCAGTCCTGGGATATGGAGTATTCGCGCAGCGACACAAAAATGTTTTTTACAAGGCTGCAGTGCCTCGAAATAGAAATTACCTAGGAAAGGTGGGACGGTGGGAAGAGGACTCCGGGTTAGGTAAACCACTTCTCATGAG